CCACCAACTGTGTAAAAGTGTTCCTGTTTCTCCACATCCTCTTGAGCTGCGGTGGGCTCCACCCAGTTCAAGCTTCCTGGAGGCTTTGTTTACCTACTTAAGCCTCAGCAATGGTGGGCGACCCTCCCCCAGCCTCGCTGCTGCCTTGCAGTTAGATCTCAGACTGCTGTGCTAGCAATGAGGGAGGCTCCGTGGGCGTGGGACCCTCCTGGCCAGGTGTGGGATATAATTTCCTGGTGTGCCATTTGCTATACCCTTGGTAAAGTGCAGTATTAGGGTGGGAGTTGCCCGATTTTCCAGGTGTTGTGTGTCTCAGTTTCCCTTGGCTAGGAAAAGGGATTCCCTCCCCCTTTGCGCTTCCCAGGTGAGGCGATGCCTTGCCCTGCTTCAGGTCTTGCTGGTTGGGCTGCACCCCCAGACCAGCACCAATTGTCCGGCACCCCCAGTGAGATGAACCCGGTACCTCAGTTGGAAATGCAGAAATCACCCGTCTCCTGTGTTGCTTCCGCTGGGAGCTGCAGGCTGGAGCTGTTCCTATTCGGCCGTCTTGCTCCAGGACTCTACTATTTTCTTTAGTGTGTTATAAAATGGAGCCCTTATGAAATGGATGCATTGAGGTCAAAACAGGTGAATATAAGCAGTTTTGTATGGTGCAACCTAGTGATTGCAGTCTTGGTCTCATCGTCACCAGCTCCACTTTGAGTCACCTGTCGGTTTGCCAGAGGACACATGGTCATATCTGACTTCACTCAAATGCTGCCCTTTTTCAGTCTGTGTCCTGCTGTCAGTGGACAGGTTGCATGGTTTTGCAGGGGATTGTCATGACTTTTCTCTGCATTTAGCTTTCGGCTCTGTGGCTTTGTTCTGCATTGGGAACACTGGCCTTTTCCTTCATCCACCACATTTGTGTGGACTCTCAGTTTCTGGGTACAACTACTTACCAGATTGCTTTCATAAGTGATTTTTTTTTTTTTTTTTTTTGAGGCGGAGCCTCGCTCTGTTGCCCAGGCAAGAGTGCAGTGGCACAATCTCGGCTCACCACAACCTTCACTTCCCGAGTTCAAGCGATTTTCCTACCTCAGCCTCCCGAGTAGATGGCATTACAGGTGCACACCACCATGCCTGGCTAATTTTTGTATTTTTAGTAGAGACGGGGTTTCACTATGTTGGCCAGGCTGGTCTCAAACTCCTGACCTCATGATCCGCCAGCCGTAGCCTCCCAATGTGCTGGGATTACAAAACGCATGAGCCACCGTGCCTGGCCTCTAAAAAGAATTTTGACTGAAAGCCTTTGCTCCCTTACCTTCAGGCATACCTGTCATCTGGCTATAAACTGCAGTCAGGGCCGCGCCTGGATGTTGTTCTTGCTTAGCTATATGTATTTGTGTGTGCAAAGACGCAACTACTCCTTAATAGGAAGAAAAGAGAGCTCTTTGCATTCTCCACAGGGCCCTGCGGGGAGGTTCAGGTTAAGTCAGAGGCTCTTGGTTCTGAATGCCCATTGTAACCACTTGGAGAACTTTAAACACACTGAGCCCTCAGTCCTGGGACCTCCTCCACCATCTGATTGTATTGGTGTGGGATTTTTCAAAGCTCACCAGGTAGCTCCATGCAGTAAATCCCAGTGTGCAGCCAGCTTCCTCCAAGGTGCCCCCAATGCCAACAGGGCAAGACTCACGTTGCTGTAGCGCCTGTCCTGTGTTCAAGGCGGGGACCTCCTTGTGCGACTTCATCCCTCAACCTCAGCACTCCTCAAACTTCCATGTGCCTGATGCTGACTGCTGGGTCTGGGATGGAGCCCTGAAATCTGCATGTGTAATGTATGTATTTGTAAGGTCATAAGCAGCCTCCGAAGGGTTTATCTAAGAAAGGAACAAGGCATGAAGTGGAGGCTCTAGGGCTGGCCTGGCCTGTCGGGTCAGAGCCCGGGTTCCAGTTTGAACGTGCCGGGGGCCCACAGGGGAGCTGCTTGTGGTTTTCACACCTCCTTTGTGAGCTGAAAAAACCGGTGCCCCTTTAGAGCAACATTCCCTCTGAATGTTTATCATTCTAAAGTGAAAAAAGACACACAAAACATGAACCTGCTTGTCAGGCAAGGAAGCTGAGGAATCTGTCTGGCTTGCAGAAACCCCTCCTGGGAGCAGACAGCCCTCCCAGGCACAGATGGGACACCACCGCCTCCCACTCGGGCTGTGTCTAGAGACTCCGCATGGCCCCCAGGAAGGTCCTTTCTCCGACAAGGCCAGGGTCAGGACCAAGAGTGAGGACATGGGAAGCACAGGACCTGCAGGGCACGTGCCTCCCTCACCACGTCTGGCATTCAGAGAACAAGGCTGCTCCAGGCCCTGCTCCCTTCTCTCCACCCCAAGGTGCCATTACTAACTCCGGCTGGGCTGCCGACCTGGTTTTGCTGAGTGCTCTCAGAACCCTGTAAATCAGGGATTGTGTGGGCTGTGGTAGACACCAGACAGAAAGTATATTCATGGACCTGGCTGTCTTCCTGGGAAGAGGCCAATGTAAGGGAGAAGAGACTGTTCCAAGGGCTCCTGGGAGAAAGCAAGGGCCAAAAAGCTCAAGAGCAGGATCTGAGTAGAGGACTCAGATACGCAGCCAGTTCCTGCCTGGGAAATGCTGTAAAGAGTGTGAAGAAAGGCCGGGCACGGTGGCTCACTCCTATCATCCCAGCACTTTGGGAGGCCGAGGCAGGCAGATTGCCTGAGGTCGGGAGTTCGAGACCAGTCCGGCCAACATGGTGAAACCTTGTCTCTACTAAAAATACAAAAAAGTTAGCTGGGTGTGGTGGCGGGTGCCTATAATCCCAGCTACTCAGAAGGCTGAGGCAGGAGAATCGCTTTAACCAGGGAGGCGGAGGTTGCAGTGAGCAGAGATTACGCCACTGCACTCCAGCCTGGGTGACAGAGCAAGACTCCATCTCAAAAAAAAAAAAGTGAAGAGGAGGGACAGAGAACAGAACCACAGAGCAAAGTCTTACCAGGTCCACTCCTTGGGAATTTGGGGGCCTCTGCTCAACTTCGTTGACCTGGTTTTAGCGAACACGCCACCTCCTCATGCTAGGGCTGGAGATACTAGCAGCCAGGGATGTGTGTCTAAATGAACACCGTCAACCACATGTTAGTGCATGACTCTGGTATGCAAGAAAGGTTGTACTTCGTTTTCTTCTACTTAATTCTAAGCCCCAATCCTCCAGGCTTGTGGGAAATTCAGCCCCAGTCATTACCAGGCTCTTCTCCATGCCCACGACTGGGCAAAGGCCCCAGAGCCTCATGCAGCAGATAGTGCTGGGGAGACCTCTGTGGTCATCAGGCCCAGTCCTTCCTGGGGGCCACCAAGCCATGCCGCTCACCATCTCAGAAACTTCAGAGGCTGGAGCAGAGGCGAGCGGTGGAATGCAGCTAGCAGGAGGTAGGATTTCAGCAGGCGTCTCACATCTAAGTCTGCCTGGCTGCTGTTACCAAGTACCAAAGCCTGGGTGGCTTAAACGTTTAATTCCTTACAGTTCTGGAGGTGGAGGGTCAAAATCAAGGTGCTGACAAATCCAGTGTCTGATGAAGACCCTCCTCCTGATGTACAGACCACCGTATCCTCTCATGGTGGAGAGTGAGCGAGCTTGGGCCTCTTTCCCTTCTCACACTATTCCCAGCGTGGAGGCTCTACCCTCATGACAGCTAACCCTACTCACCTCCCACAGCCCCCACCTCCATGGCTCCAACATCTGCATTTTGCAGAGACACAAACATGCATTCCATAACATCTTGAAAGTCTTCCATCAGGCAGCTGCTGTTTTTGCCCTGAATGATTGCAAGTGCCTGGGCATGACATATGCCCCAGCCCAGGGGGAGCCGCATTGTAAGGCCATCGTCTCAGCCCCCCACTCAGGCTGTCCTGTCTCCGCAGTGCTCATCGACCTGCGGGAAGGGCCTGCAGTCCCGGGTGGTGCAGTGCATGCACAAGGTCACAGGGCGCCACGGCAGCGAGTGCCCCGCCCTCTCGAAGCCTGCCCCCTACAGACAGTGCTACCAGGAGGTCTGCAACGACAGGATCAACGCCAACACCATCACCTCCCCCCGCCTTGGTGAGTGTCTTCACTGGCCCCGGTTCCCCGGGGGCTGCTGTGTCTCCTGCCCAGTGAGTCCTCCCTGATGGTGAGGTTCTTTCAGCTAGAAAGCCCCCTTCTTGGGCCTCACTTGTCACACAAGGCTGACATGTGTCAGTTCTGTAGAAGAGGTTTCAAAGATGGAATTCCATTCCCTGTTGTGGAACTGGTGTTTGCTTACTGCTGTCTCAAACAGAGGCCCCTGAGCATCCCCCTCACCCTTTTGCCCAACACAGAAGGATGTTCCACAGACATTGTAGGTTTCCTGTGCATGAGGAATGTGAAGGGAAGTGCTTCTTTCTAGAAATGAAAGCTCCAGGGACATCCTTCATGATGCCGTGAGGATGCACACGTGGGGCACACCCCAGGCTGATGCTCGAGCGGCAGACAGGTGTGGTGGAGGGCTGCAGACTGTGTGCGTGGTTTGGCCCTGGGTGCTCAGAACCTGGCCTCTTACCAGTTCATGCCCCAGGTCAGTGGTGAGACGAGGAGACGAGGAGCACTTAAAGATCTGGCCGGGTGTGATGGCACACGCCTGTAAATCCCAGCACTTTGGGAGGCCGAGATGGGTGGATCCCTGAGGTCAGAAGCTCAAGACCAGCCTGACCAACACAGTGTAACCCTGTCTCTATTAAAAATACAAAAAGTAGCCAGGCGTGGTGGCACGTGCCTGTAGTCCCCACTACTCAGGTGGCTGAGGCAGGAGAATCGCTTGAACCCAGAAGGCAGAGGCTGTAGTGAGCCGAGATTGCGCCACTGCACTCCAGCCTGGGCGACAGAGTGAGACTCTGTCTCAACACATACAAAACAATGATATAATTCCTTTTAACAGAGTTTCTGTTTTGCTAAATAGAAGTCCCTGAGAAATATTTTCCTACCTGAGGCTGGAAACTCACTGAAATGCAGGGGATTTGTAGCATCTTTGTTCCCGGGGAGGCCTTTGGGCTGGTGGAAGTATAGTTGTGGCTTTTGCAAGCACGGGCCTGCTTGGTGACTTCCAGAGACCACCCTCAAGCAGGGCCTTCTCTCTGTACAATCAAGACCCTGAAGGATATTTGGGCCACTTGTATGTCTTGGACCTCATGCTTTTTGGGGTCCTTTGATGTTCACTGTTCCATGTCGTCCTGTTTTATAAATGCCTACAATAATGGTACCCTCAGCCACAAAACAGTAAGTGTCACTTAGCTTGGAAGCAAGGTGGCCTGTGCCCTCTTCCCTGGAGAGGCAGCCAGACCACCACGCTGTCATGTGGTTGGGTTTGGATGCAAGGGTGCGTCCCTGTGACAGAAAGTGGCACCCCCAGTGCCCTGGGAGGCATAGCCTAATCAGTGCATAGGGTTGACATGTGCACAAGGGTGAGGGAGCCCAGACGGTGGGACCACAAGCCCTCCCTGGGCGTGCATCAGGACATGCCTAGGCCATCCCTGACCCTGGGTGTTCTTTTGTCCCCTTAGCTGCTCTGACCTACAAATGCACGCGAGACCAGTGGACAGTGTATTGCCGGGTCATCCGAGAAAAGAACCTGTGCCAGGACATGCGGTGGTACCAGCGCTGCTGCCAGACCTGCAGGGACTTCTATGCAAACAAGATGCGCCAGCCACCGCCAAGCTCGTGACGTGCAGCCCCGGGGGTCGCTCAAGGCTCAGACTCGAGGTCTGAAACCCGCCCACCCCCAAGTGTACCAGCCTTGCGGCCATGCCCCCACAAGGCTACCACAAGAATACAACTGCATAGAACATGAGTGTGGACTTGACGTTTGCCATTAAAGCTTCTGTACTTAATATATTGTTAACAGCCACTGGATGGCTTTCTACAGTGAGGAAAAAGTAGGCATGAGTCACAAAATAACTTTAATTTCTAGGATTCCAGGTACCTCGAAGGGGAGCACCTCTGGCAGACAACCGTCAAGAGAGAGACATCATTTAGTGTTCCTGTCTTGGCTCGCTTTCGACATTTGAATTCCCAGTGCTTGGTATATCATGGAGGAAACATCCCCAAAACGAGACATGTTAGAAGAGGCTTTATTCTGAAAGCCGGCGACACCCTGGAGGGAGGGGCAGGTGTTGGTGAGCCTCTACCCGTGGCTTCTCTGGAGAGGGCTGGGCTGCTGAGCCCACGTTTTCTCTTCATCTACCTTTTTGACCACATGAGAACCAGGACATTGCCTCCATGCCTGTCTCTGACAACATAGTCTCTAAATCCTAGGTGTTGCCTTGGAAGTCTCGTCCCTGAGAGTGTAAATCTATGTATGCCAACGAGGACAACAGTGCCACGCAGTTCACACCACCCACATGGGAAGAATGTTCCAAGAGAGTCTGGGTTTGAGGAAGCATCTAATTTTCAGAGCTCTGCTGTCCACCCTGTAGGGGAACAGAAGGGCCTTTCTTCAAGGTGCTGTGAAATGGGAAACGGTAATTGTGGTGATGGGGTTGCTGCCTAAGGCAAAGGTAAGCTTGGGCCAGCTTCGTTGGGGCAGATGGGCATCTGCCCCACCTTCCGGGAGCATCCACTCTGGCCCGCACTTCCTAAAGCTTTGCACCTTAGAGATGCTGTACCACATCCCAGTGGCTTTCTACCAACCGTGGCCATTTATCTGAAGACGACATTTGGGACCTCTGAGGACAAAAACCCAGGCCTAGGATGTATAGAGCAAGGCCTGACTGCTGTATCCTGGCACGGAGCAGCCTGATGTGGCAGGACCAGGGGAGGAACGCCATCCGGCCCGCACTGCTGCACACCCACTGAGCCTTCCTGTAGCCCAGACTTTGTGGTAGCCATTATCATCACGCCTGTCATCACTGACCCATCTTCTTGGTGGGGCAAGGATGATGCATGATGAAGGTCCTTCCCTCCTGCAGCCCCCTCACGTCTGGTAGCAGATGAACAGAGTGGCCTCTTTGAGAACACAGAGGATGGTAGAACTCTGCCTGCAAGGAGGCCGGGAAGGCTGGAAATAGAGACCCTAGATGCCAGGAGGCCTGTTTTGCTCACCAACTTGGTGGGCATTTCATGGGTGCTTATGTTCTAGGACTTTACCATAAGAAACACACCTCCTCCCTGATTTCAGACAGAAGGTCTCACTTGGACTAATTTCCATGGGATCATCTCCCAGTGCTTCTTGATTTATTGGTGCTGTGTTTCTGTGTTTTGTTTTGTTAGATGTCACAACAGTAGAGTTAGCTTAAATCAGAAAGAAACCTCTCTGCGTTCTCCACCCTGTCTGACGAGCTGTGTTTGTGTTTGGACTACCCCAGAGGCAGAGAAGCGGTAGGGATGTCAGGGAATTTACTCACTTCCACTTGAATCAACGAGAAGTGTTGAGAAACTTCCGTGGGTGCTCTGTGGAAAGAACTGAGAGTGTCAGGATGGAGCGGCCCACCCTCACCCCGGGGCCTGTGCAGAACGCTGTCCTCCCCGTCAGGCCTGGCCACCAGCAGACTCCCCTGAATTCCCATTTTCACAAAGCCCTCAAAATTTTCGGGGAGCTGAGATTCCATTTCCTTCATCCCCAAATGAACTGTTAATTCACCAAAAGACATTTAGACTTTTGCAGCCAAGGAGCAGAGCTGAGCTAGCTCACTAAGGAAGCCTTAGCTTGGTCTCCTGCATGGGCCCCGGGCCTCTAAACATGCCCCCTGGTCACCCTGGCAAGGGCCCCACACCCTCAGAATGAAAAGGATTGATTGGGTTATTGTCAGACACCCCCATTAGTTCCCCTAAAGTCTGCATCTTTGGAGCTCTTTTAGCTCATCTTTTTTTTGTTTTTGTTTTTGTTTTTTGAGACGGAGTCTCGCTCTGTCACCCAGGCTGGAGTGCAGTGGCGCGATCTCGGCTCACTGCAAGCTCCGCCTCCCGGGTTCACGTCGCAGGTTTCTTCCGATGCTCCTCAGGCCTTCGGCCGAGTAGCTGGGACTACAGGCGCCCGCCACCACGCCTGGCTACTTTTTTGTATTTTTAGTAGAGACGGGGTTTCACCATGTTAGCCAGGATGGTCTCATTCTCCTGACCTTGTGATCCACCTGCCTCGGCCTCCCAAAGTGCTGGGATTACAGGAGTGAGCAACCGTGCCCAGCCTTTTAGCTTATCTTGAAATCCACCAGCCTGCCTTCCTGTTCATGGCACGAGCGGTGATTTCAGTGAAACCATCATGACATTCTTGTTCCACTAGACGCTGATCACAGCAGTGATGTCTCTGTATTGTTAACAACACCCTGTACTGTCCCTCAAGTACTGTACCTTTGTGCTTGCACACGTGTTACTAACTAGAGCCTCACGATCCTATGGTGCTATTTTTATTGGTGCAAAATGAAACCCTCTCAGTTGACCATGGCTTGATATGATCAGAATGCAGGAAAAGAGCCTCAATGGCAATACTATTGTTCTTTTTTCATTTCAGAGTCAAATGTATATATTTTCCATTAGTTAACTTGCATTACATACTGTACCCATGGTATTTTTGTTTTACTTTCTTTTTGGTGCTGGTTTTGAAAGGAAAAAAAAAAAAAAAAACAGAAGACAAACATTGGATGCCATTATACATGAAAAATTAATCATTTCATTGGAAGCAAGTTGAATATGTGTAATAAAATGTTTTTCCGTAATGGTTTTAAGCTGTCTGTGAAGTAAAAGACGAAAGCCAGTCCTCAGGGCTGACGGGGAGGCTGTGTCCTTCCCCACTGTGGCGGTCACCTGGCTTGCCAGGGACTTGGCTGCGGGGAGCCTGCTGGCCACAGCTGGAGTTGGTGTCAGAGGTCACTGGGAAATGCAGTTCTGAGGGATGGCTGCATCTCCATGAGCGAGTGCTAACAAATCATTCAGTCCTGGCCTCATCCCTTTGTGGTTGCAAAACCCTGGGTGGGGACATGAGGGTCTGACAGTTGTGCTAGGAGCCTGTGCATGTGATGTAGAGCAGCCACTTCACTGGCAGAGCAGCCCAGGCTCCAAGACCTGTGCTGCAGAGTGCAGGCCCTGGCCATGCTGGCCGGAGAGCCATGCTCAACTCTCCACCCGCTACCCCCACCCCACAACCCTGCCAACAGCCCTCACAGCTTCCCTCCACCAGCAGATGTGACGGCAAGTCACAGCCCCACACATCCCCCAGCACTGCGGACAGGACAGGGGTGCTACACCACCACCACAGTGGGAACAACCACAGCCATTTGGATGCCATCTGGGCCTGACATGGAACACACATGTCACAGCTTACAGGGATGGGGAGTCCATCTCCTCCCGGAGTCAGGAGAAACCTCCACACCCACAACCTTAGAGCCCTCTATTAAGACTAAAGCAGGCCAGGCGCAGCAGCTCACACCTGTAATCCCAGAACTTTGGGAAGTTGACATGGGAGGATCACTTGAGGCCAAGAGTTGATCAGCCTGGGCAAAATAGTGAGACCCCTGTCTACTAAAGTTAGCTGGGTGTGGTGGCATACTCCTGTAGTCCCTCCCAGATACTCAGAAGGCTGAGGCAGGAACATCACTCGAGCCCAGTAGTTGGAGGCTGCATTGAGCTGTGATTGTGCCAGTGTACTCCAGCCTGGACAACACAGCAAGACCCTATCTAAGAAAAGAAAAATGGAGTAGCACCCAGAAGTCTCACTAACGAAATAAATAATTTGACAGACAACATACTGCCCACAGCCCCCTGGTCACTGGAAAACCCGTGGTTTGTGTTAATTCTTGAGAACCATCGCCCACCTGCCTCCAGGACGTGGAACCCTCTTGTCCTTCCTCCGTTCTGCCCTCTCTGGCGGGTTGGCTTTTAACAGCCCTGTTTGCATGGAATTTCTTCATGTTCTGCTTCGATTCCTGGATGGCCCCAGTGATTCCGGTTTGTTAGATGAAATTGACAAGCTCTCCATCAGCAAGTGTTGAGTGGGCATCTGTCAGGGACCAAGCACTTCCTAGAACCGCAGAGAATGCAAAGGAACAGAAGTCCTACTCAGGAGCCCACAGCCGTCCTACTCAGGAGCCCACAGCCCCACAGGGCAGAGAAGCCTGGAGATGCACAGAGCTGGGAATGAGTCAGAGGAGCACAGCTCCGAAGAGAGAAAGGTCAGGATGTCCTCTGTGGGTTTGTTCACTGACCTGGACACAGACTAGAAGGGCTGGGGTTGGAAGCTTTTACTGCAGCGCCCTCTTTCTGTAAAAGGTCTCAGCAAAAGCCCTTGCATTTCTGCTTCCAGGTAAAAACCTACCTGCCTGAGTCCACCTTCTCTGCCTGACAAGGAAGCAGTGCCCAGCCCTCCTGGAAAGCCAGCCCTCCCACCATCACTTGACATCCCCCTCCCCACCCCAGCAGCACTCCACACACCGCCTCACCTCTGGTCATGAACTCCCCTGGCTTTCACCCTCTGCTCTGCACTAACGCTCTTGACAGGTCACCAATGACTTCATGGCATCAGGTTTCGTGGACATCCTAGTGTCCTGTTCGCCAGCTCCCAGCAACCCTCCCCTTTGACACAGCCCCTCTGCAGCACCACCCACTGCTGACTTTCCTCCCCTCTCCCCGCCATCTGGCTAGTGATGAAGTGCCCCAAGCTCAGCCCTCCACCCTTTTCTATATACTTTCTCCCTAGGTCATATTACCTGGACTCAAGACTTTCTAAACCACGTACATCCTGTTATTTTCCAAGTGAACATTTTGGGCCCTGACAGCTACCCCGGCCCACCTCTGTACTCACGCGTGACTCTCCACGTGCATACTCAATCCTCCGGGAAGTTTGGGACTAAGATAGCGCTTCATAGTTGTCCTAAATCTGCAATTTGAGCAGGGGGTTTGGGGAGGGCCACTCACCTCTGCTGGGGTGGCTCAAAGGACAAGTAGAGACTGGAAGGGTCAGAAAGGCTGTGGTCTTGCACCTGTGGCCGCTGATGCCAGCTGCCAGTCAGAACTTGAGCTAGGACCATCAGCCGGGACACCTGCAAGGGGCCTCTCTGAGGGATGGTGGGATTTTGGTGGCAAACATCCCGAGAGTGAGCTGCACAACCTCTTGTGATAACTCAAAATTTCCACAGCATCACTCCCACCATACTCCAGGAGCAAGGCAGGCACAAAGGCTCAGTTGAGTTTAAGGGCGGTGGGGGACAAAGCGTCTGTCTCTTGCTGGGGGTGGTGTCAGGGTTCTGGAAGAGCAGGTGGAGTGGGGAACATTGTTATGGCCATTTTTTAGAAGATTCACACACATCCCCTGTATTCGTTGGGGTTCTCCAGGGAAATGGAACCAAGAGGATAGATAAGAGGAGATTTATTATGGGAATTGGCTCACATGATGATTGGAGGCCAAGAAGTCCTGCCATCTGCTGTCTGCCAGCGGGAGACTCAGGAAAGCTGCCACTGCAATTCAGTCTCAGTCCAAAGGCCAGAGAACCGGGAGTTCTGGGGGCAGAGGAGAAGACGGATGGTCCAGCTCCAGCAGAGAGTGCAGATTCACCCTTCCTCAGCCTCTCTGTTCTATTCGGGCCCTCTGCAGATTGGATGGTGCCCACCCACCTTGGTGAAGGTAGATCTTCTTTCCTCAGCCTATGGATTCAGACACTTATCTCTTTCAGAAACAGCCTCACAGACACTTCCGGAAATCATGGGCATCCCTTAACACAGGCAAGTTGATGTATAAAATTAACCTTCATACTCACACATACATGCAAAATACACTCACCCCTCCCCCACCTCAGCCCTAAAGTCTCATCTCCTTTCAGCATCAGGCTCAGGACTGCATCCCCTGAATCAGGTGCTGATGTGGCTCCTCCAGCGTGGCTCCCCAGGCACAGGTCCTTGAGCACTGGTTCTAAAAATCCCGTGAACTAAAGAGAGACATCCTCTTCCCTCCACTGAGAGGGTCAAGAGAAGATGGTGTCAACAGCATAAGACAACCACTGCAGACACTCCCTATTTTAAAAGGAGGGAAGGCACATGACAGGCACCATCCAGCAGCTGATGTCCAGCCTGGCACATGGAGCCAGTTCCATTAGGCTCAGTCCCACTGCCAGGGAACGATTCTCCTTGGACTACCTCCAGGAGCCAAAGAGGCTTTTGGCATATTGTAATTCATCCTTAATGATGGGGAGGCATGATTCAATAAAGTATCCTTCCTTTTGGAGAGCATGTCCTGACACGCCCCCAGGTACTGGACTCCTACAAACTTCACCGATAAAATGATCCTTCAGTCCGGGCACGGTGGCTCATGCCTGTAATCCCAGCACTTTGGGAGGCCGAGGCGGGTGGATCAGGAGATCAGGAGATCAGGAGATCAAGACCATCCTGGCCAACATGGTGAAACCCCATGTCTACTAAAGATACAAAAATTAGCCGGGCGTGATGGCAGGCACCTGTAGTCCCAGCTACTTGGGAGGCTGAGGCAGGAGAATTGCTTGAACCCGGGAGGCAGCAGAAGTTTGCCAGTGAGCTGAGATCGCACCACTGCACTCCAGCCCTGGGTGACAGAGCGAGACTCCTCTCAAAAAAAAAAAAAAAAAAGAAAAAAAAAAAAAGGTCCCTCAATGCCAGGGGCTTTTCTCCCCCAGCCTAGAGTCCATGTGTCCTACCACGGCCTCTAAGTTAACTTGCCACTCCTGCTCATCTGGTCTGATTACGTGAGTCACCAGATCATGGATCAGCCCAAGTTCTTGGGAGAGTCCTTTACAATCCAGGCCCTCTCAGGCTATATCATAATAGAATTAACATCAGCCCCAGGAAGACAAGTGAAACT